CACACACACACACACACACACACACACTCTTTTCTTTCTTTCTTTCTTTTTTTTTTTTGTTACTCGGGATTGAACTCAGGGGCACTTAATCACTGAACCATATCCACATCCCCAGCCCTTTTTAAAATTTTATTCGGAGACAGGGTCTCACTGAGTTGCTTAGTGCCTTGCTGTTGCTGAGGCTAGCTTTGAACTCTTAATCCTCCTGCCTCAGGGTCCTGAGCTGCTAGGATTATAGGTATGCACCGCTGCCCCAAATACATACATATATTAATATTTTTTTCAGTTGTTGATAGACCTTTATTTTATTTATTTATATGAGGTGCTGAGAATCGAACCTAGTGGCTCACATATGCCAGGCAAGTGCATTACTGCTGAGCCACAGTCTCAGCCCCCCCAAATATATTTTTAAGCTTACCACTTTTATGGAAGCAGTGATCTACTGTTGTCTCTCACAACCTTCCACATACCTGTGCTAGGTGAGAACTGGTATTCAGTAAGTGCTTAATGAATTTAATTGTGGAGGATATGTATTTTATCCTTTTCCCACTTTCTAATCTGGTAAAGTTTTTATTTCTTAATTTAATTTTATTATTTATTTTTTTAAAATTTGAGACAGGATCTCCCAGGTTGCCCAGGCTGGCACTGAACTCCTGGGCTCCTCCTGCCTCAGTCACCCAAGTAACTGGAATTATAGGTATGAACCACAGTGCCTGGCTTGGTAAAGTTTTTAGACTTTACCCATTTTTTAAACTAATCTCTTTTTTAGGATTGTCAATCCTTCACACTTTATCCATAATCCTTTATATTAGGGTTATGACAAACTGAGAACTGAATATTTATTTACATTCATTGTGGTCAATCATTGTTGTGATGATCCCTAATTACTCCAGTCACTTTAATTCTTGATTTTTTTCTTAAAATAATAGTTCAAAATTCATTAAAAATTGGAAATCCATCATTTCTTTCATATTTGATTTGCTTTAACAGAAATTCTTTACTTCTTTTGTCAATATGATTTGGAGAGAATAGATTAAATACAGGAATAAAATAATGCTCAAGTTGTTCTGTCCTGAGACACTCAAAAAAGAATGTCACACAGTTATCAAAGCAGAGTACTAGGTCTTTGAGGTGCCACTGACTGCCCTGTGGGTTCTGGGTATATACATGTAGGAAGGCAGTTTGCACATGAGAAGAACAGAATTTATCCAGTTCTTTTCAGTGTTCAGGCTTTTTTTTTTTTTTTCAGCTGTCCCAAAAGGAATTTCATTAGTTTTAAACAATCTTTCCTGCAACATTTCATTCCATTAGTTTCATAACATATTTTAGTTTGCGCATGGTTTTTCAAAATATCCTTTTCAATATGCGAGAAGGATAGCTGCCATGTCTCTTCTTGAAAACCATTTTCTTTTTTTACATGCGTGGGTATCAGGTAAAATGGCTCTTAATTTGCTCCTAACTCTTGTTCCAAGCCAGTTATTGATGGGCAGACCTTTTTGGGTGCTAGCGGGCTAGTTACTTTTTGATTCCAAAGTGAGAATTATATCCACAGATATTTCTTCAGATTCTTAATAAGAAGTGTTATAGCAGGGCTCCATTGTCTTTTCCTCTCCACAGAGACATCTATATCTTCAATGTTTTTTAAAAAATTTCTTCTTTAATGATTTTCCTAAACTTTGACAGCATCTTAGAAGCTGATAATATTTCCTCTTCTAAAACTGCTTCAGAGAATTTCCTTTGGGATTTCTTTTGAACTTCACAAAGCAGTGAGCACCACTGTTACAATATTTTTCTAGCTGAATTCTGGGAACTTTTAGTTTAAACATGACATCAAATTCATTAGGTACAGAAATCTTCACCTGCTTGTAGTAGCTCCCGGTCCCCAGCAGGATGACACTTTTGAACTCAGTTTTTTGCAATCTCTGAAGTAGGTGGGCTCTGACCTTGTTCTGACATGACTGCTGCTGAGATTTCCTTGTGCCTGAGCCTCAACTTCTCCAGCACAACCTGGGGCTTCCAGCTGCACAGCACCTCCTCCCTCCTGCCCATACTTGGGGCTCAGACTGGTGTGCAGGAACAAGACACTTCCGTGGGTTCAGGCGGGGGTCTCTGTTGGGGAAGGAGATTGCGCCTCCCTAGCTGCAAGACCCTGCCCTGGGAGAGGGCGGACCCCGGGCTGCAGGAGACTCCAGTGTCTCAGCCAGAACACTCTCAGCTTCTCAGCTTGGCTCTACTAAAGCCTGGGGGTGGTGCACCTTTCACGCAGAGATGCCTTTTTAGAACCGGCTCTTGGCGCACGTTCCTGCAGTGCTCTTGGTCTGTAAGCACTGCGACTCCCGGACTGAGCTGCTCTTTGCCACGTTGGGCTGGGCGGCCTGGGGAGTAGAGGACACTGGTAGGGCTCTGTCAGGGTGACCCTTGTACCTTTCTCTGAAACCTTGGGGGTGGCAGCTCCCCCTTTCGAAGTTCTCCGAGTGGCCTTATCCGAATAGGGGGTCCATGGCTAGTGCTGTTGCTAGAAAGAAGAGTTGACTGGGGAAAAGGCCACAGGAGGAGGAACTTGTGATGACAGATAGAAATGAAACTTTAAAATGTGGCGCAAACACAGCGTCTGTGGCCTGGGAACTAGCACTTAGGGGAAACCCACACCTGGAGGTCACATGGAGCCACGTGCTCACCTGATCCACTTGTTTTTGATCCCACCTCCTCTTTTCTCCTTTTTTTTCCTACTAGACACATCCTACACATGTAGACTCAGTATCCCCTCCTCTGAGTAGTCTTTACTGATTGCCTGCACTTGTGCACCGAACACTCAACCACCACCTTGTACATGATCATCCACTCAACCCTTAAATATGTGCTGTGACGTGACATGGCACGGAAAGATAGCATTCTTGATGATCCACAGATTGTTACCTTGAGGAGATGATGACTGTCTCATAGGATTACCTAGTGTGACTGCATCTGAAAAGGCAACACGGTGGGGCACATTGCCAACCTGTCACTAGCCAGTTGGAGCCCTAGGCACATCTTTAACATCTTTGGACTTTGGTTTGGACATCTGTCAATAAGAAGGTGGGCTTGATGAGCTCAAACTTCCTTGCCACTCCCATCTTGTTGGTGATGTAATAAAACAGCAGCCAGGGGTTACTGAGGACTTAGAACAGGATAGGCACTTTACCAAGCACTTTGAACCTAATTCTTACATCAACCCTATGAATTCAGTATGATTTCAGTCCCCATTCCCAGATATGGAAACTGAGAATAACTGAGGTTCTGTGACTTGGGTACAAGGTCACAGTAGAGGAAACAGATTTGAATCGAAGCCTTCTGGTTCTGCCATTCTAAACTACATAAATGTACACACATTCCACACATTTACACACGCATAGTTTTGTGTATTATTTGAGTCACTCACAGACTGTACCACAGATCACTTCACTAACCACCTTTCTATAACTTTAAAGGCTCATCAAGTTGGAGTCTGGGTAAAAGCAAGAGATGAAGATGTTGTGGTTAAGTTTTCAGCAGGAATGGAAGGAGGACAAGTGGCTAGCTCAGGTTTTTTTTGTTTTTATTTTTGTTTTGTTACCAGGGATTGAACCCAGGGGCACTTAACCATTGAGTCCTTTTTTGTATTGTATTTTGAAACAGGGTCTCACTAAGTTGCCTAGGGCCTTACTAAGTTGCTGAGACTGGATTTAAACTCATGAACCTCCTGTCTTGGCCTCCCTCACTAATGAGATCACAGGTGTGTGCCACCATGCCTGGCCAGCTCTGTTCTTAATCCCTGGCTAATGCTTATTTTGAATATGCTGATAACTGTTCTCCCCTGAACTGAGAGAACTCATGTTACTGTTTATAGTTGCCTTCCCTACAAGGAGCATAGATCTGAGTCAAGGCTTTGGGTGTGGAATTAAGATCAGGTCTGCTTCATAGCTCAGACAGCATCTCAGATGTGTCCTTTATTAGGGCTGTGAATGACAGGCTCTCTTATTTATATGCACATACAGCCTTATTACTAGAGAAGGAAATGTGTGAATTTTTTTTTTAAAGGAAGTATAATCTTATTATTTGGAGTACCTATTAAAACTAGAATATATGAGTAGCTGGCAAATGAAATTGAATATAAGTTAACTAAAATATAGTGGGCCCACATTGTAATATATCATCAACCCAGCTTCTTCCTTGAAGGAATGTAGGAAATAACCATTAAAAGTCTTTACTCTGTTTTTATTTTTTAAAGATATTGGTTTCTCCTCTTTTGGAGTCTCTCTGAACCAAAGTAGGTAGCAAGGCTAATTAGCAACTATAGCCTATTTTCCACCCCGTATCACTTTCAAGGACAGCCAACAGACTGTGGTCTCTCTGGTCATAAGTGTATTAGGTGAGTCTTGATTAATTAGCCATTTTTGAGATTCATGGCTGTTGAGTCAGATCCTCAGGGGTTCCTCCTGCCTCTGGCAGGTTAGCAGACAGGTGGGGCCTTGGCTACTACTGCTGCATTCCTTCTCTAGGTGGTATATTTTTCTCTTTAAGAAGATGTGCGCGTGCGCTCCCCCTGTCTTTTCCCTTTTGATTAGTTGAACTTGTTCTGAGTCCAGGTGGCAAAGACAGAGCCTAACAGGTGTAGCCTCTCTGTGTCAACAGCTGCCTTTCTGCTGGAGTCTCAGAGGCTTGTGGTGGGGCAGGGCCTGGCAGTCTGGAAGCCACACTGTGCCTGAGGGATGTCCAGGTGAGCTGGAGCTGTCTCCTAGCCCTATCACAAGAATCTGGCTCCAGAATGGGATGTTGATAACAGTTAGTGTACAGGCCTTAGTGTTTCCAGGCATGGAAAAGCTTCTTTTATACTGTTCTCTTCAGGCAGCAGGGATTCAGTGGTTAGGATTCTTTTAGATTGTATGTGATTATTTGTATGTGATTTGTATGTGCTTGCTTCTAACTTAATGGCAGAAATTTTCACTTTATCCAAGTCCTTGTTTTTTGTTTATTTGCTATAGGTGAATTTACTCCCTGACTGGCATTAGAATTCTTCTGGAATTTTAAATTTTTTCTTTTAAAAACACTTGGACGGATAAAAGATGTGCCATGGCAGGATAGCACCAAAGAGCACCTCAGCATTTGCCGTGGCCTTCGTGGGACATGGAGTGTTCCTTCCACTGGTGATCTTTAGCACCCTGCTTGGAGACGGTTTTGCCTCTGGTAAGTTCCGACCTGCCTTCTGTGTGTGGGAGGGAAAAGACTTCATACCATTGTTTCTTATGGAACCTGGGGTACTCTCTTGGCAGGCAGTTTCAGGGAGAGTAGGGAGTTCGGGGCTTTTCTTTTTTCTTTTTCTTTTTTTTCTTTACTTTTCTTGGGAGTTGTGGGCTTTTGTGCTATGGTGTATAGCAAGGAACCAGTCCTTCTTGGGGACTAGTGAACCAGCAGCAGGAGGTGGTGTGGAGAAACTGCTGGTGATAACATTACCTCCCCTCTGCCCAGCTGTTGTTATCATCAGGCAGGATAGAGGTGTAGGACCCAGGGTCTGATGTCCAGGCAAGGAGGCAGGCTTTCATATCAGACTGCCAATCTTCAGAGCTCATTTCTAGCTTGCTCTGTGATGCTGAGCAAGTTGCTTTGCTGCTGTGAGCTACAAACCTCCTCAGCTGTAATGGGACAATAATAGTTACTACTTCACAGTGTAGTTGTAAAGATTGCTAGGATAACATAATAAGCACATAGTGATGGTTCACTCTTTTGGTTTGTTGTCTTTCTTTCCTTTTTCTTGGAGTGAGTGCATAGTTGAGGTATTGTGATTTAGTCAGAGTAGGACCTGGTAACTGACTGCAAACATTGTAATCTTGGGCAAGCCACTTAACCATTCTATGACTCAATTTCTCCATCTGTTACATGAAGGTCTCTTCTAGCTCCCACAGTCTATATTCATGATTCTAAGGACTTTCTGTTTGAAGATGGTGAGCTAGAGAGTCCCTAACAGAGGTTAGAAATATAGCAGTGAGCTCTTTTGAGTTTTTAAAAGGTCCTTGTTGCCTTTGAGGATGGTCAAAAGACCCTTCTAGCTTCTCTTTGTGTGGTCCTCCAGACTTGGCATCCTTTTCAGAGAGGATATTTTCCAGTGTGTCCAGAAGGCTTCTGGGGGATGTTCCAGAACCTTCCTCTGTATCTGTGAGTCCTAATGTTATCACTGAGCTCAGTAGTAATGGTGCCCCTAACAGACTTCCTTAGAAAGACTTATATGACTGGTTCATCAGAGTTTCCCCAGGAAAACACTAGGGATCTTGTAGATTAGGTTCTGGAATGGGTGGCAGGGCAGTTACACGTTGTATAGAGTCCCTATAGTGTACTGCTGTCTTTTCTTACCTTTCTATTAACTTCTGTCATCCATTTACCCAACACATAACAGATAATGGGGTAAGCTCATCTAAATCTTATTTTTTTTCTTCTGAATTATTTGAAGAAATATTTTTGTTGTTGTTGTTTTATTGTAGCCTTCCCATGTATACACCACACATGTATACATTTCCTTTTCTGCTGCCTCTCCTTCCACGCCATTCTGACACCAAATCCAAACCTTTAGTCTCTATCCATGAGGAACCCTGGCACAACCCCCAGGGCCATGATGGTTGGGACCCCATAGTATGGGCATCGCGGTTTCAAAGGGACATAAGACCAGACTATACTAGTGTGTAATAAAACGAAGCAGGGCCTACATTTATTGGGTTACTCCAAAGCTAGAGGAATCCTCTAATCATGGTAATTATAGAACCACAAAGTGTCTTGTACTCACTTCTATATCTCTGGAGAAGAAAAGTTAATAACTACGGACCACAGCCAAAGCTTGCCCTGCATCTGCTTTTACTGGTGGGAAAAAATAAGAATAATAGTATTTCATGACATGTAAAATTAGATGAAATTCAAATTTTAGTGTTTGTAAATAAAGTTTGGAACATAGTAATGCTCATTCATGAATACATTGTCTGTGTCTGCTTTTGTGCTACAGTGGCAAAGTAGACTAGGTGTGACAAAGACCATGTGGCCTACAAAACGTTAAATATTCAGGCTTTAAAATATTTGGTTTTTAATAAAAGAGGTACTCCCCATCCCTAACCATCTCAGAACAAATGATGCTCAATAGATATGTGCATGAATGGAATGACTTTCGGAGCAGGAAGGACTTGACAGGGCCAAGTTGTGCTTCAGAGGTTATGCACTTGCCTAGATTCTTATAGCTCTCGGTAGGGCCATGACAGAACCTGACTTAGTGCCTGGCACACTACTGCAATCCTCCTCTTCCAGAGCTCCTCTGGGAAAACTGCCCTGGAATGTTAGGGAGCAGTATTAGTGGCAGAATGTCAGAAGTCTTGAGCTTCTTTAGCTTTATTAAGCCATCCCACCTACCCCTACCCTCCTTTTTATTGGCTCCATGCTTCACTTCTTCCATTTCCCACCCCATTTTCCATCTACCCACACCTTCCCACTTTCCACCCAAGGTCTGCAATCAATTATCAGGTTCCAGACTGGCTGGATAAAGGGATTATTATTCTCCAGTGTGGAAAAATGTGTGTTTGTAGTGTGGGCTCAGACCAGGATGGGAAAATAGGCTCTGTTGTTTTCTTACCCCTTCCCTATTGAAAAGAATACCCCCCTGCCCTGACACCCAAGCCCCAAGTTTTTTCTGCTCCTCAAAGCAAGGTATAGGTAGGGAGAGAGGTTTCACTATTACTTAGATCTAGTGCTTGAAGTTGCTGCCAATGTTTTCCTCTGTCTCTGGAATGACTTCTGGGGGAGGGAGGTGCCCACCCTTGGCCTAAAACTCAGAGCACAGCTGTATGACTGGGTCTGCCACAAGCAGCATGCCAAGCAAGTTTGCCAGGAAAGCAAGACTCTCAGATACTGGAAAGCCAAGGAAAAGCAGTTGCATTCAGGAAATGCCCCTTCTTCCCCTTCCTGTGTTTCTTACCTGTTCCTTTAGCTACTCTTGAATGCCCATTCTGGGAAACATTTTTTTTCCCCCTTAGTACTGGGGATTGAACCCAATAGTTTTCTACCACTGAGCTATGTCCCCAGCCCTTTTTATATTTTCAATTTTATTTTTGAGACAGGGTCTTGCCAAGTTGGCCGGGCTGGTCTTGAATTTGTGATCCTCCTGCCTCAGCCTCCTGAGTAGCTGCATTAGTGTGCACAACTCCAGAAACATTTTACATGGGGTGCTTGTAAAATACTTAGCCTTCTTCCCTAGTGAGCTTTGGTAGACCCTAAATGTGCTCATATCCATGCTCATTTTGAGAATTCCAAAGGACCATAGGTTAATGGACCTCCTCAGGGTGGCAACTTGCCCACAAGTCTCTGATCATAAATAGCACAGTCATGCTCCAGTCATGGTATTAATCTCAGGTTGAATAGAAAAGAATTATGTGTTAAGGGCATTTTGAGAGTTCTGGGGTAGAAACAGCTCATATTGCAGGACCAGTTTCCATACTATTTTGTCTTATCTACAATTTAGGATTGAGAGTTGTAGCAGAGAAGGTGTTAGAGGCATTGACCAGAGGTCCAGTTTTTCTGTTGGTCTTTCCTTTAAATGGGGAAAATTCTTGAAGATTCCTTTTTAGTGGCAAAGGAAATATATCTTATTTTTCACATCCAGTCACACCATGCAGTGGGAAGAAACAAGAATTAAAAATAGATGTATGCACATGCTACACAACTTGCCTTTCTTGGACTGGGGAGGGACTAGGATCCTAGCTGTGTAGCAGCCTCTCCCATGTCTCACAGCTCCTTTACCTGCTATAACCTTAGGTGAATCACTTGACCTTTTCATGCTTCTTACAAAATAGAAACAATGATCCATCCTTAAGAATGTTGTTGCACAGTTTAATAAAAATGATTGGAGGGTATTTGGCATGTAAAACATGCAATGTAATTCCCAAATAACAACAACAGAGTTGGTATGTGACCTATTGTTGAGTCACATAGTTCAGGAGCCTTCATGCAGATGACGTCCTTTCCTGTCATAAAAACACAACTGAGCCAGGCATGGTGGCATACGCCTGTAATCCCAGGATTACTCAGGAGGCTGAGGCAAGAGGATTGCAAGTTCAAAGCCAGTCTCAGCAACTTAGTGAGGCCTTTAGTAACTCAGTGAGACCCTGTCTCTAAATAAAATACAGAAAAGGGCTAGGAATGTGGCTCAGTGTTGAGCACCCCAGGATTCACTCCCCCGATACAAAAAAAAAAACCAAAAAAACGCACAACTGAATATGCAGAGTCACTATTTGGGTTGAGGGTAAGGAATTTAGGAGCAGGTGTCAAATTTGACCAGTGAGGAAAGTTGATTATTTCAGGAATCCCCTTTGCCTTCCATAAAGCTCATGTTTGCATAGCTTGATGATCTCAATCCAGCAGGCCCGCTGACTCACATAAAAAGCTTTTGCTTTGCATTCTCTCTTTCCCAAACATATTTACTGAAAAAACTCAATATTTTCTTTGTTTCTGATTTTTCTCCCCCATTAAAATGTAGCCATGACACATTGGGCCATGTTAAATATCAAGGGAAAGCATCAGTATTCATTTCTGCACAACAAAATGAAAAGGCCAGTCACTTAGTTTTATTTGAAGATGGAAAATCATGAGAACCAGGTTCTTTGTGAGATGATGTGGTTTTCACCCTCAGCATTACCATGGCAGAGAAATACTGGTGGACATCATGGCTCTCCTCACCATCTGTGAAGGGACCTGGAGTCAGGTGATATACACTGAACTGTGGGGGCAAGACAGATGAGAAACTCACATGTGTAGCCATCACTTAGGTGTTAGGTTCTGTACTATTGCCCCGATGTAAGCTCTTAGAACACATAGGCTAGGTGGTCATGAGACATTTTACAAAAGAGAAACTGAGGCAGAGATGTTAGATTGTTTACTTGGAATATCATTGTAAGTGGTAGGGCTGGCTGGGGTTTATGACCTGTATCTTACTCTGCTGCTCATTATCTTTGCTGGAACCATACTATATGTGCCGAATGGCAGGCATCTGTTTCCTGATTGAAGTGCTCAGCCCTGCCTTCAGAGGATTATTCTGACAGAGGAAAAAGACCCTGTCTGAGCTGGATGTGATAGCTCATGTCTATAATTCCAGCTACTTGGGAAACTGAGGCAGGAGGATCCATAAGTCAAGGCCAGCCTGGACAATTTAGTGAGATTGT